CCCCCCCGTTAGCAATCCTGCTGCCACATTTCTGACCTGAATTGTGGTCAACCATTGGACACTGATCAATGCAATCCACCTTGGGCCCAGCGAGGGACTGGCCCATGTGTAGGACATGGGCGCAGACACGGGGGCCTCCTCACACGGCCGGCGGCTCATGCATCACAGCACAGCTGATTTGCCCCATGGCCTGACACTTGCTGTCCACTCTAATCACTTAAAGCGGCCGAGGCCGGCCCGTTGGGGTCCGCTTGTCTGCTCCCGAGTGTTCACATGGACTGGATCTGTCTAGATATCGCCGTTTTTTTTTTTTTTTTTTTGTTCCATTCTGCTTTCAGAAGCATTGTTTGTCACTACATTTAAAGTGTTAAACCGAGGGAAAAAAAAGCTGAAGGCAACAGGATGAAAGGGGGAAAAAAAAGTGTGCCATGGGTTTTGACCAGGTTGCTTGCTGTCTGTTTTTCTCTCTCTCTCTCTCTCTCTCTCTTAGAAGGAGGTCACTTTGGGCAAGCACTTTGAAACTCTATGAGACCTTTGAGAAAGCTACCCTGGCCTAAAATACATATCTGCTTATAAATAGTCGTTTGCCCCAAGCTTTGAGCATTTCTGCTGGGAAACTGAGGTTAACAACTCGTTGTTATCTCACTAAAGACATCCTAGCATTTCTCTAGAAACGCTGGTACAGCTCCTTACTTTCTCCACTTTAGGTTTTCCACCTTTTTCATATTACAATTACAAACATCAAAGTATTTTATTTGGGTTCTAAGTAGTAAACAAACACAATATATTGCATAGTTTTAAAGTGGAAGGAACCATTTTTAACATTAGGTGTGCCTCTTCCAGCTTGATCAGGTTAGATTGGGAGCATCTTTAAGTCGTGGGTTTCAAGTCTTTTTGGTTGGATTATCTAAAAATCTAAAATTTGTCCTGTATTTAGGTTCATCCATCATCCTTTCAACTCTTTAGAAGTAGATATTTTCATCTAGTCCAGAGTTGCCATGGTTCTACTGGCTGTGTTGTGTGATTATTGTGTTTCCTTGAACAGGTTAGCATCGGCCTGTGGGCTATACAAAACACATTACATTTTTTTCCACAAAACCATTATTAAATGGTTTTGATAATGGTTAATAACGAAGCCAAACCCAAAGTTTACGTTTGCACATGGAAATGGCACAAACAGATGTGCAATTATACAACGGTACATCTTTGAATAGCAGAAGTAGAGCCTCCTGCACAACCAACAAGAATGCAGCAAGTGGTCTCTGACTGGTTAGTAAACAACAAATCTCTTGTCTTTTCTAGCAGCCATTATACAGCACATACATCTGACCAAACATGCTGGAGCTCAGCTGGGGTTGCTAGGTAACGGCGCAGTGCCTCTCCAGTCTGACTTAACAGTTGAGAGGGTTTTTTTTAAACAGCTTGTTTTCCAGACACCAAAAACCATTAACTTAATGCCACAAAATGGTTGTTGTTTTTTTAAGCGCTTTGACTGTTTTTAGGTTAGTATAAACCCAAATGGAAGTACATAAATGTGCAAAATGTCAGTTTAGGATGACTGCCATGCCTTTGACAATTAACTGTTTCAGTGAATGGATCGAACAAACAGACTCCAACATAACCCTGCTTTAAACTTCTCACCAACTTTCTCTCTGATCTGCCTGTTGTGTTCCTCTGTGTTTGTGGTGTTAATGCACTAATGTTCTTTAACAAACCTCAGAGTCCTTCACAATGCAGCTGCATTCATACTGGGGGTGAAGGGAGCAGAATACACATGCATAGCCACAATTTTCCATCTTCTAATTGTTAAATATTTTGAAAGTCATGCATCCGTGTCCCATCCACTTCATATCACATGAAATCAAAGTGAAATCCATTCAAGTCTGCAGCTGCGTTTGCCTTTAAGCTCCCCCGTTGAAAAGATCTGAGGCTCGAACCTCCTCGCCTGCAGATGGTTATAATTTGCAACAGACTGATAGTTTTAAATGTTTAACCGTTAGGATTTCAAATTAGACCTCAAGAAAGAAAGAAAAGTCTCGAAAGGCGGAGTGAACTTCCCTTATAGATATAGTACAAGCGTCGGATTGACTGTAGGAGAGCTAAGCATGTCGTCTGGGATGTACGGACAGATTTAAGATAAAAACCAGATGGAGGCAAATAAACTTGCGCTCCTTCTGAGTCTGCTCTCTGCTATTTTGGGATTGTGTGGGGGTGAAATGGGGGTAGGAGGTGGTCTGACTTGGCAAGTGTAAATACACAGGCTAGTATAAGCATCGGGTCTCTCCACTTTAAGGGGGAGGTATAGGATCTGGCACATGTTCAGTGTGGTGACCCACTTTTCTTTGCATCTGGACCTGATAAGTTTCCTCCTCAACAGTACTGGGAGGAAAGGAGGTCCAGACCGGCATCACTGTCCTCCACACATGCACTGATCTTTAGACTTGACATCCACATTTTAGATTTATTTTTATAATCCCCACCTGTAAGAAAAATGTAAACGTGTGAATCAAAATGCGTCGATGTTTATTGCCGCTCTGTTACTTTTCCACTTAGTTAAGAATCCTGTGGTGCTGAAACCTTGGCATCTTCACGTCCTGATTAGCACTTCTTGCACCTGTGCTTATTGTTCTGTCATCTGCTTTTTCCAAGACCAACAATTAAGTTCTGGCAAAGTGTGGCCTTGAGCCGCTGAAGGCAGTATGAGAGCTTCTGCTACTTTCATTTTGTTCTTAAGCTGGTTGTACTCGCTGGTATATTGCCAGTACTAATGGAAATTAGTCAGGCTGTAGATAAAAAGCTTTCTGAATGTCAGCAAACACACAAAAAAAAAACAGTTCATTCATATTTTGAATGAAGAAATTAATCTTTACTTGCTTTATTTTCAGTTTAAGCTAATTTGATGGGGTTTTTTTTATCTTTAACACCAAACCGAATCAGAGAATTTTCCAATGCCGACTCTCAATGCCATAGTTTTCTGTGCTGTAAAAACTTCATGTTTTTCACAGAACATTTATATAAAGCATGAGGTACTAAAATCAGTGCTCTATAAATGACTGAGTTCCTATTATGTTGGATTAAACTGGATTTTCTGTGTTAAAATACTTCTAAACCTTGGGGGTTTCATGATCTTAGACAATCTGTGTGCTGAATTTCAGAGTGGCTAACTTAGCTTAGCTTAGCTTAGTCCAAATATCTGAAGCTCAGTTCAGTCCTGTACCATTATCAAAATGAAACACAGAAAACTCAAGGTATCTCAACAAGCTTCCCTCCATGTCTGCTATGCTTCAATAATATTGGTGAATTCAGGAAAAAAAGGGGTTAGCAGTTTAGTTTCTTTCAGTTTATTCAAGTAAAAGCAATTTACGACAATTGTCACAGCAAAGCAATTTACAAGGTAAAAAAGTTCAGATTCATATCCAGAAATACACTCTCACCGTCCATTTTTGCCGGTACACATTGAGGATTAGAAAGAGATTTAAGTGACCTTGGCATTGTTGTTGGCGCTAAAAGAGAAAAGTTAAAAGAGTAACAAGACAGTGAACATAATGGTAGTTCAAATAACTAGTCATTACAACCGTTTGTCCTTGAAGGCGCTGGACCAAACCAGCAGGAGACCCAACCAGGTCACGATCCTGTCCACTGAGGCAACATAGGCTCACCAAGTTTGGACAGTGGCGAAAACTTCCTCTTGGCCAACAATGAGAACCAACTGGACTTGTGTAGGAAGGCGACGGCCAGAGGAACAGACCCAAGAATAACAAGGTGTACCTCATAAAGTGGCTGGCAAGTGCATAATCAGATCAGTCCAGCGTAATCATACAGACAAATTTAAATTCAGTTCCATACATTTCTGACAGATTAGATGTGTCTGAAGGAAACCCATTCTCCTACTGTGCATGAGTGGACTTAGTCTTTATAGTGGATGAACTGGAAACCTGCTGTAAGGAACAGAAAGTTTCAGAAGGGAATCTGGACCAGAGCTTTAGACGCCCAGAACGTCTTCAGACGGCGTCTTATTGAGTCAGTGGCATTAAAAAGACAGACGCTGCTGGGTTTTATTGTAGCTTGTGATGAAGTGTCTTTGTTCTCCAACCCTCACAGAAGCAATACATGTTCACCTCAGGACGATTACATCATGTTTCTTTAGAGACAGTGTTCCGATACCGCACAAGGTCTCCGAGGAGCCACGGGAACATTAGCCTGATGTATTTGTTTCTCTATTAGTATTGATCCGTGTTAAGTGTCAATTCAGGCACTTGGGAGAAATGATCCGGCGCACGAGGAAAGCAGTCGATCAATGCAATCAAGGACATCGCAAGCAGTAAAGCCTTTGCTTTGGTAGGAAACCTAAACTGCGGTAGAAGACTGCAGCACAGAGCGTCCACAGACACAACAACTACGCTGCGAGACACGCCGAAACCTTTCCTCCACAAACACACACCTTCTCTCCTCCTACTCCTCCGCCTCATCTCATCCCCCCCCCCATAGCCGAAAGCCAGAGCAGACTGATAAGCAGGCAGCCAGAGACGAACTAATCCTCCCACAGTGAGAGACGTTTCGGATGGCGCGTGATGGAAATCAAACCGAACTGACAGACGAAGGCAGGATGAGCCAGGAGCAGAGGGTAGAAGTGAGGCGAGGATACAGATTAGCAAAAAAAAAAAAAGAAAAAAAAAGGTGAGGACGAAATGCGATCAAATGACAAAGAGGGTCGGTTATAAAAAAATTTCTACTTAATCCTCTTCCTCCTCCTCAGATATTGCCTTCCTTTTTTTTTTCTCGTTTCGATAAATGTGCAACCAAGCCTCCCAACCAGTTTGCCTGCTCAACCATCTCCTCATCATTCCCACCCATCCTCTCCTGCCTCCCTCCCCACCCCACCACCTCATCTCTCTCCTCCTTTCTCAGTCTCTCTCTCTCTCTCTCTGTCTCTCCGTCTGACTGAGGCGGATGTAGGTCAGTGCGTCTGGAGCCTGTCTGGAGCTGCAGAGAGCATCAGAGCCATCTCTGCCTTCGCGCCCTCAGCTGCGGACGACTTTCTCCAGGCTACCGGAGGACAAGAACCGGCGCCGACTGACCCCGACGTGCCCTGCAGGAGGATGCGCCATCCACAAGGGCGAAGGGGGTGTCAGGGGAGGGTTGTATGTTTACTTTTGAGAAGCTTAGCCAGTATATGTTATTTGCATGTGTGCTGCAGATGCAAATGAATGAGAAGGAGAGGCAGAGTGACGGTACAGACGGAGCAGGTCGAGAGGAGATCGGCATTAAAGTCGTCGCTCCGAGAGGTTTTCTGGTAAAACGTTCATGTGACGCCATCGTACCCCCTCTTCTTCCAACACACACACCTTCAATGCACTGCTCTCCTACCGCCTTCCATCCCATCCACATTCAGACTCTAACCTAATCATCACGAAGCCATTATGTTTCTTCCCCAGATCCTGTACGGTTGCATCCGCAGTCGTCGCCGTTTTTCTTTTTTTCTTTTTTGTTTTTTTGGGTATTTTTGCAAAGGAAGACAAAACCCAGCGACCAAAATCCAAACTCCAGGACGAAGAGAAGTGTGGCGTTCGCTCTTTCGTCTCATTCAGTATACATCCTTCGCCGTGTCTCTCCGTACGGTGTCCCCGTTCGGCAGATGTCCTGTGCCCCCCAAAAAAGGCTGAACGTCCAAAGTCTCCTACGGCGTCCTCCGTAGAGCGTAAAGACTTCCGAGTTTCCAAACCCTGCTCCGTCGTCTCCCTTCTCTGGTTTTTAGACGATGCCCGTAAAAGAAAACAAAAAAAATTGAACAATGTTTCAGAGTGCAGCTGCTGCGAGGCTGTCTGACTGGAGTGTGTGTGTTGTGAGGGAGTTTCCGTGTGTCTGTCTGTGCTCTCGATTTGTCGCCGCAGCGTCTCAGGGTCCTACGGTGGTATTCCTGTACTTCAGTGACAGTGTGTAACACCCCCGCAACTTTCAGTGTGTGTTTTTTAGGCATTTGTGTGCTTCGACATGACATGGCAACCGTGTGACCTGCTGCGTCAGAATCTGTTGCCACTCTATTTTTTTTATTTTTTTTTGCCACCTGACCACACCTCATCCACGCGACGCTGTCGTCCCCATTTTCTGTTTCGAGTTCTTGCGGAATACGATCGAGAACTTCTTCAACAAAACTGTTTGCGGTTCATCGTTTGTACCCTTTCTTTCGCCGCTCGCTGCCCGTCATCTTTTAGTTTACCTTAGATGTGTTGACTTGATTTGTTTCTCTGTGTCTTATTGTGATGTTTCTCTTTTATTTTAGGAGGCGAAGAAAGGACTGAGTCCTAGAAAGAGGAAGGAAAGGACTGAAGAAAGCTGAAAACTGTGTCCAAACTCTGTGGAGTGACAGAAATGGCAAAAATAAGGCAAAGCAAAGTTTAAAAAGTTCCTTCAACGGGATTAAACTGAAGACATTTGTGGAACAGTAGATCATATTGAAGTATAGGGTTACTTTTATTTGAAAAAGTTGCTAAAGAAGGAAGAAAGTCAGTTCCCTAATGTCTTTATCTCCTTTTTTATTTGTGATAAGAGAAGCATGGGGAAGTATTACTCTATGTCTCTTTTGCAGCTTAAAAATAGCTCCAGTTACTGGTGCTGTTGTATAAGGGCTGGGACAGCAGTAGGTGGGTGATGTGGTGAGACGGCCACCTGTACTGTCTGCCACATTCACACAAAACACAGAGGGGACAGACTGCCTGTGGATGAGTCACAGGCACGGCGATAAAAGTGTGCGCGCGCACGAGTGTGTCTCCGTGTGTGAGTGTGTGTGTATGCAAATCATTGCTTAGTCGTCAGTTTTTCTGTTTAACTGCAGGGTGTAGGGAACTTCCCATTGGTTTTCAAACTCTTGGAAAAGCTCCAAGTCAGTTAAGGCCCAGCGCACAACGAGGCCCTTTGTGCCTCGTTGTGCGCTGCCTCTCGGGATGACGGGCGGCCGGGTCAGAGCGGCGCGTCACTCTTGAGGCGGTTGAAGAAGGGCGAGTCCAGGGTAACGAGAACCTCCATTCACTGACACATGGACTCTTTTTCTCCCTCGCTCTCCGGGCTCCTAATCTCATAACTCGCGTTTTACGACACACCGGGATGACTCCCTCGCCTGTTTCTGTTTTTTTTATTTTTTTCCTCTCTGCTCCCAGCACGGTCGTGAAGACCCGACTTATAATAAACTACAACCCCCCCTGTTCCCCCGTGAAGAGGCACATGCTGCTTTCTCATTAAACACTCAGGTTTCTTGAGGGTCAAATACATATTAGGCATTCATATTTGTTTTATTAAAAAAACTGCATATTAAACATCTTAAACAAACAAATGATTCCCTTCTTTTCACATGCAAAGAAATTGTAGAGTAGGGTTAATGTTGGGAGAGTTTCAAGTAAAGTTATCTTAGAAAGTAATAAACAACAAGCAGTCATTTGTTTAAATCAATCCAGATTAGTTAGTTCTGAAGCTAACAGCTAGACCAGGAAGGGCCACGACCAAAGTGACGCACAGCTGATTTAAAGGAACAGCAGATTAAGCAAACTTTCTGCCACTATCATCACAGTTGAACTGGGTTATTTAAACCGACGCCTAATATTTACACTGGACATTGATGTTGGAGGTGGTGCTTCACAAAATACCTTCCTGTGTGAAACATTTACTAAAAACTGAACATGCAAAGCATCTCCTGTCAGAGTAAATATCTGATGGATGTCAGATGTCTATTAGAGCTGTACTCTGTGCAGAACTATTTAAATGTTTCGCACTTAGAACTTGTTTCAGACAGGAAGATACTTGGTGACGCACTGCCTCCTACCTCTATGTACCATGTAAATGGATATCAGTTGTTTCTTTTAAACGAACAATACACACAGTTATGAAGGCTCATAAAATTGAATCTGAAGAAACTGCTGTCATGTTTTGAGATTGTAAATTCACTCAGTCCATGACGGCCTTGGACTAATAATTGTCTTAATTGTCTTTAGCCCCAGAGGTCAAATAATCTGGATTTATTATAAATGCAGACACCAAGGGTGTAAGATAGTAAACTTCTTAGATGTTTTTGACAGACCGTCACTTAAAGAAAATGCACAATTCTGCTTTTAATGTACTGATTTTCAAATTCGCCACAGTCGCAATGAAATTTGAAAATGGAAGTGTCCCTATCGCCGTCACCTCTTCAGCTCCCCACTTCCTGCCGATCCGCTCTGTTCACGCCAGCCTCCCTCGTAGTGACACCGTCCCCTTAGGCATCAACAGAGCCCAGACAAAGGAGGAGGCAGGCGTAGTTTGAGGTAAATACACGGCTCAGGCGGAGCAACGGGACCGGCCCGACGAGGGCCTCAGGGAGCCGGGGAGCCGCAGCAGAACACCAGCAGTGCATCTGCTGGTGGAAAGCTACCTGACAGCTGCTTCTCACACATCAGATAAGATTACAGGTACACCCAGTACACCTGTTTAAACAAACCCTCGCGCAAGCACGCCGCCATGCGCGCGTGTCTGAAGAAGACTAATAGAGATAACAAGCTAATCCAGGAGCAGATGCATGCTTGTAATTGGGGCAAGCCACAGATATATAGCAGGGGGAAGAAGTTCATTATTAATACTGTGTTTGATTTATGTGATTGTGCATTTGTTAAGAGTTTATTGTGTCTCTTTTTTTTTATTACGCATTCATTGTAGCTTTCCCCCGACTACCAGGCGGCTGTTGTAAACCTCGGAAACTCTGGCTGTCAGTGATGTTGCAGAATCAGAGCAAGACTTGCAGAGAAGCAGCCGATCACAAGACAGAGACGTTAACACACAATCATGCACACACACGCACAGAGTTAAGGCCTGCTCCATTTGGCTCTAGCCTGACATCTAGCGACTCAGGCTGTAATATGATCTCACATGACACTGGCATGTTAACATAAAGAGATGAGCTGGAAGCTGCAGCAGGATTGAAGGCTTTTTTTTTTTAAAGATTAAATGAAACAATTACTTTCCATATATCTGGTTCACCACAATGTAGTGACGTGTAGATAGTAAATAAAATCGACCCACAGCCACACTGTCCCTCTAAACCCTGCCTAAGATGCCATCTGTGATGTCACTACGCGCGGCGGTGTCGTAACAGTTTGTCAAATAACACGATGGGCGGCTCACGTTTGGGTGGGCTCGCCACGCGCTGAAACACTACGGCAAGCCTGACTGACGCAACATGTTGTGGCCTCCTTTGTGTTTTCTCAGCATTTTTTCAGCCGCCACGCATGACACACAATCTAATTTTAGCTGGCCTTCATCCACTTGAAACTAATGTGGTTCCAAGTATAGCCCTGTGAATTGTAGAGGAGGACCAGGATGTTAGAATATATAGATGTATATAAAAAAGGGATATTGGTGCCTAAGACGTATTGAGAATAACAATTCTTTAATTTTAATCAGACATGTTCTGCCTAACAACATTTTTTTACAGGTTAAAATGTATTATTTTGGTAACTGATCCTGCCAAAACACTTTTTATATGTTAAGAAAGTCACTGAAGATACTGTTGTTTTTCTTTCTGAGCTGTAAGGAGGTCATGAGGGTTATATGTGACTATATGAACTCAGTTAAACCTAAAAGCTGTCCCAAGACTTGTATCTGAGAACTCCTCCATGTTGGACAGGAATGCGATTGTGAATCCAGGTTTGACTAGTTTAGCGACAGTGCTAATGCTAATGTCAAACCAGCACCCCGAGGGAGTTGTTGCCAAGGAACTTCACATCTGAGCTGCCGTTGTCAGGGAAAAGGTTTTACATGCAACGTGCAGCCTGGTTAGAATGGATTTTTAAAGGTTTATTATTATTTCAGTAATGTTTGATATCTTAATAAAACAAAAAGTGTTTTTATTTTTGCCTGTCTTCATCATTGAGGTCAAATCAGGTTACTTTGTGAAAGAAAATATGAAGATAATCTTGATTCTACTGCCAAACAGGACACTGCAGAGAGGTGACTGTTTTTCCCTAAAGCCGTTGGAGGCTCCAACTGGGGATCATCGTCTGGGGCCCCACTTCCAGATAAGCCCATTACTATTATAGGTACTTAGGGGAAGTTTGGGGAGAGAAACAATCGTAAGGTTATGTGACTGTTAGCTTACAGTCGAGTTAGTTAACATGACTTTTAGCTTACAAACAGTCATGGTAACGATGGGTCCGTGTTAATCAGGTGCATCAGATATGGATCAGTGGGAGCTTGTAGGTTCCGAATGCAAATGGGAAAAATGATTCTGGATTGAAACATTTTAAATGCATCTTGATAACTTTCCATTGACGTTCCATATGTCCAATATATGTTAGTGTGAAGTTTAATAGTTAGAACCTCACTGATTTATTTGAGTAAAATTACTGTAAAAAGTAGATGGCAGCTCCATAATGGTTCTTAATTGGTGGCTAACAAGTAGCCGCTGCTATTCGTTGGGATGGTACAGCAAAGGCAGAAGATAAGTTAATTTATGGGGCCCCTGAGGGATGGCCAGGGCCTAATAACTAAACAAGACCTTGATGTTAAAGAAATACACTAAAATAAAGTTATTACATCTGATTAAATCTAGAGCTGGCTTACAGATTTTAGGTTCCTGCTACTTAATAAACCTCCTAAAGTTACGGACTCACACTTCTTCAATAACTTCTAAAATACAAATGAAGAAACATTTTTCTCATTCATTAAAATACATATATTTTCAAACTATTTTTCGTCGTCCTTCAAACTTCACCACCCTGAGCTGCTGCCTCAATAAGCTCTCGCTGGAGTCAGGCCAAAAGGCCAGCACAACCACTGACCCATCAGCTGAACATCTGTGTGAACATACCTGCTATTGCTTAATCATTGCATTTTAATGAAGTTTCTAAATGAAGTCGCATTCATTTCTCTAACATGTACCTCTTCAGTTCTAACAGCCTGGGTTTTTGTTGTTGCTGCTGTTTTTCTCTGTACGGTGTGTTCCTTTGGAGAACAGAAACGTATAGATCGAGACGCTCACAGTCTGACTTGGTTCTTTTCTTCCAGTGGAGTCTGACAGGAATGAGGTCAGACACACGGATCCTCATTGCACATTATTATTATTATTAGCCGGGTTTTTTTATTATTATTATTATTCAGCCAATGGGCGTCGAGTGGGAGTGGTTTGAGTGAAAAACCAGGATGGAGACAGGCGCCGATTGGCTCCTGCGCCTCGAAAGGAGGGTATAAAACGATGAGGTCGGCGTTGTTGTGTTTACAGTAATATCACAGTGCGCACGGGAAACAGGGAGACTATGAGAAAGCGCAGCTGCTCCATTCAACCACATGGTTCCTCAACCGCACAGACAAGCTGCGCTGTAGACAGCCGGGCTCACATAGGAGACTCGCAACGGCGTCTGTTGAGCCTCGCAGGGAGAATTTTCAGCCGCACGGGCAGTTGAGAGCTGATCCGGGAGGCGCGCCGGCAAAAGTTCAGACACTCGAAGTCTCTTTAAGCAAAACGGAGTGAACTCAAAAGAAAGACAAGACACTTGGATGAACTTTTATTTCTTAAGATTTGCTTCCAACTCATAGCTGAGGAGGGTTTTTTCCCCCCCCTCCATCTCTTCTTCGCGCATAAACTTTGTCACTGACTGAGCGCTTCCAGACTGTTTGGAGGAGGAGATGGTGCAGCACATGAGCCACACAGAGAGCACCCACGCTCACTCCCCCGGCGGGGACTCCACGGACACGGGAGACATGGACCTGGAGATGGACGCTTCTCCAGCCCCGGAGGGCTCCCCTTCCTCCCGGGAGCGCAGCGACCTGGCGTGGTGCAAAACTCCGACCGGCCACATCAAGAGACCCATGAACGCGTTCATGGTGTGGTCCCAGATCGAGAGGAGGAAGATCATGGAGCAGTCTCCGGACATGCACAACGCCGAGATCTCCAAGCGGCTTGGGAAGCGCTGGAAGCTGCTGAAGGACACGGACAAGATCCCGTTCATCCGCGAGGCGGAGAGGCTGCGGCTCAAGCACATGGCCGACTACCCGGACTACAAGTACCGACCCAGGAAGAAGGTCAAGTCCGGGAGCGCGGCGGGCAAGCAGGCTGAGCGCGGGGAGAAGAGCGGGGAGCGCGGCGCCAAAGCCGGCGGTAAGAGGAGCCCCGCGTCCAAATCCGCGAGCAGGACGCTGAAACAGGGGAGCAGTAAGAGCGCTGCGGTGCAAGAGTACGCCTCCGCGGTGTTTAAATCCAGGTCGGCGTCGGGGGCCAGGCAGATCCCGGAGAAGCGCTCAGGTTCGGGAGAGGCGAGGCGCGCCCACGTGTTCGGCGGGACGGGCAGCCTGGAGAGCGGGCCTCCCTCCGTGGGAGTCCCGGCCAGTCCCACCCTGAGCAGCTCGGCGGAATCCAGCGACCCGCTGAGCCTGTATGAGGAGCACAGCCCCGGCTCCACAGCGCGCCTCAGGTACGCACGCGCCTCCTCCCCGACGCCGTCCGCCTCGCACTCGTCCTCCTCCGTGTCCTCCGCGTCGTCGGACGAGGAGTTCGAAGACGAGCGGCTCGACCTGAACCCAAGCCCCGGCTTCGAGAGCACCTCTCTGGGCGGGATGGGCTTCTCCGACGCGGAGCTGGACCGGGACTTAGACTGGGGCTTCGGGGAGTGCGGGGCGGGATCCCACTTCGACTTCTCCGACTACTGCACTCCGGAGGTCACCGAGATGATCTCAGGAGAGTGGCTGGAGTCCACCATCTCCAACCTGGTGTTCACCTACTGAATCAGCCCCTTCTTCCCTCCCACGTATGAACTCTTCTATCCCTGTACAAGACAAGCCTGTGCGTCTAGATAAGAAGATTTCCGCCATTTTTTCACTTTTGAATAAATAAGAGTGAATAAAGGAAAGAAAAAGAGGTGGCCTGGTGCGCGGTGAAGCCCAGGTATGCGCCGCTCAGACTTGGACAGCGCTCAGTGGCGCTTGACTGGAGGAAATGCTTAGTTTGCATTTGGAGAGGAGGAGGTATGGAATGTCAAACGTGCCACAATTCAATACATAAGTAAGTTGGTAAATAAATATCTATATATGTGATCATTTTAAACAATAACAATAGATACATTAAATAAGTAGGTAACTGCATCGATGGCATATTAAGTTGTTTCAGTATCATTTAATAATTTGATTAAATGTATAAAAGGATTAAAATCTGTTTTCTTAAACCACTTATAGTTCAGGTATTTGTAATCCTTTCACAACCTTGTGTGTCAGCCTCACCCAACATAGTCAGTAGGCGGGGCTAACACTGCTTTAGGCAAAATGATTGGTCGGTAGTTAAGCTGTTGTGGAAGGTAAACAATCAGATTTCAGCTGCCAAGTTATAGTCGCAGTTTAAATGGTTACAGTGACATAAACGTGTAACATTTGAAAACTATGTATTTGAGTTTTAATTATTGAGAGCTTTTAATTATTGGTGCATTTAATGATTTGTTGTCACATTCATCTTTGAAGATATTTATGTTATTTATTTAATGTATTTATCATGGCATTCTTAAAATTATCATGTATATAATATTTATTTAAAAAATGTATTTATTGGATTGTGGCACTTTTGGCCCTCCCTATAGAGGAGGAGTGAATGTAAGCAGAGGAGCTGCAGATGTTTAACTCATTCCATGCAGGATGAGGACCCAGACTGAACTTTTTGAGTCATAAGAATTTTTTTTTCTTTCGTTTTATTTTTCTGTTTTGGAACACTTGGAGAGCTCTTGTGTTTGGTTGTGTTTTCTAAGATATAGCCAATCCACACTGACCATCAAGTTCAGGACATTTTTCTCCTCCTCAAAACTCAATATTTGTAGTATGAACACGCATGCCCTCCAAGAAGAGGAGGAATTTTCTTATTTAATGCGTAAAACAAAAAAAAATGTTTGTCTTTGCTGCGTAACTACGCATTTTGTGTGCGCATAGGACACAATTCACTATCACCAGCTTCTCTCTCAACGGCAGGATTTAAAACAAAGACTGACTTTAAACTTCAGAAACTTTTTTAACAAAAAAAAAAAAAAAACACTCAGTGCACAATTCAGGACCAATGTTCTGCGCTTTCTCTCTGCCTAGTGCTTCAACTTTGTAGTTCTTGTGTCAGATATTCTTTCCAAATATGTACAGAGCCGGTCCAAGGTTATATTGGGCCCTGGGCAGAATTTAATAGGGGTCTCACTTCCTGTTGAGGTCATTTACCCACCAACTACAACAACAGGTCTCTTTCATATTGATGCTTTTTTTTCCCTCAGTATTTGCTCTCAAACTGGTTTTAAAGTTAACTAGTAAGCCAACAAAGACACAGTTCTCTTTATATATATATATATATATATATATATATATATATATATATATATATAAAAACACTGGGTTTTACCTGTTGTAGATGACTCATTAAGCAATTTAATTTTAATATAAAATATCACATTTTTGTTTATAAGAGCTGGGCAAAGAATAAAAAAAAGTCCCAAAAATTTCCAAGTGGTTCACACAAACAATGTTTTACAAACCATAAATCGATGTCATGTTTGTATTGCCTTTACAACAAGCACATTTTTTTAAGCTGTCCTTTCATCACATAGTGGTATTTTTTTTGGGGACCCCCGGCCAGCAGGGGGCACCAAGCAACCCACATACCGCTCATGCCTTAGGCCGGCTCCGTACATATATTACTATATATATTGATGTATTTATACTGGCCAAACTTTTTTATACATAGAAGTATTGTTCTCGTACAGGTCTCGTTTGTGTTTGTGCGCACACACACACACACACACCTGTCTGTATATCCAGCGGCGGAAGGGCTAAGAAGTGTATCTTATTTAACAAAAACACACACACACACACACACAAAATAAAAAAAACAGTGTCCGACTCCTCTCACTTTCAAAGAGATTTCGAGTGTGTCATGATTTTCTACTTGTATTTTTGTACAAAATCTATAAAAGGGTCAGCCCTGGAGCATTGTTGTTCGCATCTACATTGGTGGTTTGGACGTGCAGAGGGGGCACAATCTGACCTCACACAGTGTTTACAGTATTTACCCACATGCTTCTTAAATGGCACAGTGACTCCAGCTTCACCAGCCGAGTAAACAAAGCGCCGTCGAGGCTCCTCCTGACTGTGTTTTCCAGTCCACGCGCACTCAAAACGCACTCAAACCTGAAGTCTCAGTGAAAGATCCCAGATAAGAGTCACTGTTTGGATAGAGCTAATACCTCTGTGTGCTTTGTTTTTTTTTTAATATATATGGAGATAAGTTTTATTTGAACCACTGGACTCATTCCACTTTTGCCTAGACTTTGGAGGGAGGAGGAAATGTTTTTGAAGTGCTTCATCTGTTGTTGCGCAAATTGCATCAAAAAATAGTATTTAACCTTTTTCTGTACCTGTTGGCTACATATAGCAGGCTATTTGTTTATTATTTTGTTTGTTTGTTTGTTTTTTTTTATATTATGGCATGGCAAATAGCATTTGTATTTCAGATTCAGGTATATGTAGCTATAGCTGTTGTGTTTAAGATTTTTAAAAGAATAACATGAAGATATTTATGTAAACTGACTGTACTATAAGCAAAGATTGTGTGTTTTTATGTATGATGATCAACGACAGGCACTAGGACGGCCATCTTTGGTGGAAGATGATTGTGGTCCAGGAGTTTCCTTTAAAAAAAAAAAAAAAGAAAAAAAAAACGAAAGGAGAAAAAATTCTATTGTCCTTTTTTTCTTTTTCTTTCCCATTTGTGCAATATGTTGTGTTTGATCATGTTTTGTCCACTTCAGCCAAGATCATTTGATGTCTTTTGCTCAAAAACCAGCCAACATTTGGGTCAATCACTGCCTCTCAGACCTCTGTACAGATTGTCTTTTTTAAATTTTTTTTTTCTTCCGAGAAGGAAATAAAATCAGCTGGAACTGAAAGTGGAATGCTTCTCAAGTTGTCTTCCTTTAACTTTGTTTCTTGAATATTTGAAAACTTTAAAAAAGAAAAAAGGTGCCATTTTTGATATGGCCTTCCACCCAGGGTGGTCATCCTCTGGGGACAGCATGAACACTCAATTTATTTTGAGTGTTAAGTTATTTCTAAGTTATTTATGTCTACTTTTCTTGCCAACCCCCCCCCCCCCCCCCCCCCCCCCACACCAAAAAAAACAAAAAAGGCACACCAAACAAACAC